TATATATATATATATTAATTATATTAATCGATTAATATTATACTTAAAACTTTTTATAATCTTTTTAGAATTTATGGATGCTTTGACGGCGCCGCGAGCATTTAAAAAATCAGAAAGCATGTCGCAAACTAAAATGCGGGGTCTAGGAATTGAAGAGAGTGATAGTAAAAATAACATGGATAACAAAAATAACGTATTATCTCATCAACAAGAGGCAGCGAAACCAAGAGGTATAAAATACAGAATTTCCAACTATGAGTGATGAATCTATACTTATTTTGTTTTTACAGAGGAAATGAAGTTCGATCCAATCACTCTCGAGACTCTGAGACAAGAAAAGGGTTATCAAAAAGTATTACGAAAACAGCAAAAAGAATTGGAGTCTTTGAAGAAGAGACATCACAAGGAGAAAGTCACTGTCCAGAAGCAACATTGCGTAGCAATAGAGAAAATCTTTAAGGGGAAAAAGTTAGTCATTTTTGTACAATTTAAATTTGTTTTAAATTTTCTTCATATATGTGATAACAACTCTTATAAAAGCATTTGCTTAATTAGTAAATTAAATATTTTTCTTTTAATTAAATATATTTCTTTTTCTATACAGAATTATAAAAGATAAGAAATTTTTATGTGTTTCAACAAAAATATTTTATTTAAAAGTTATTTTTATTTATTATTTAAAATTAAATATTTCAGAATTATTGAAAACTTGAAGACTGAAGAAAAAAAATTCTACAATTTTGAAATAGTATAAAAAAAATTTAAGATAATAATAGCAAACTGAATTTGGAGCAAAAAATTAAAATACTATTTTTTTCGAAAATTTTTATAAAAATTTCTAATAAAACGGTTAAAATAAAATTATTTTAGCACATAGAACTGATACAATTTAAAGTTCGTAGAATTGAGAGTTAAATATACACATTACGAAAATAATTGATTAAAATAATAGTAGAATAAATTCTTATAAAATAAAATAAAATAAAATAAGAGAAAAAGACACAAAAGAGACAAAAAAATGAAAATTTTAGCAAAGCGGAACTTTCGAGGGACCCCATTGTTCGCCGTGCAGTTTCTGAACAGACGACCCAATGGTCGCGTCTCGCCGACAGGCAGCGCCGGGAGGAACGCGATCTAATCCGTGGGCATTTAGAAGAGCGACGGACGCAGCTGTGCAAATTGTGCATGACCGCGCAGCTGGCGCAACAGAAACAGCAGACTGCACGTCACGATCGCGAGATGAAAGAAATAACAGCACGACAGGCGAGACGGTCGGTGGAGAGCGCGAGGGAAGTGATGAACGACAAGACTTTGAAGACACGTGGGATCAAGGAAGGCAGACTCAGGGAGATGCAGCAGAACAACACGAAAAAGTTTATGGAGGAGCGCAAAGTCGCTCAGATGATACAGAATAGGGAAAAAGAGAAACTAAAGGTCGTCCACGAAAAACAATTGGAGGAGTTACAAAAGGATATAAATGCGGTAAGACAACAGACTCTCGCTAGGCTAGAAGTTTTTCCAATAGTATAGCTTTGTACATTCATTGCGTTTGCACATTCATTGCGTTTGCACATTAAAAACAATATATCTACATGTTTATTATATATGACTTGTAATCATAAGTAATTTATGCAATCTAATATTGAACTCTTAAACATTTATTTTAACATTCCATTGACAGAATAGATAATTTTGAAAATATTTTAAGTTTTTGTGTATTTATTTTGATAAAATAAGTATCGATGTGATATATACAGCGAATTTGATAAAAAAAAAGATTGTTAGAAAATCTAATTTATTGTATATTTCTGTTTCATAATTAAGCTGAATTCTATTTATTGAATGTTAAAATTAATTTTGTTATTATATTTTTTCCTTATGTTGTTTCCTTATGTTTTAATTATTACACTTTATTTAATATTTTATTTAATATTACTTTTTATTTTTTATATAAATCTATTTTCTTAAAATATTTTTTATTGTATATCTCATATTATTTGTGATATTTTATATTGTATAAAATAAATAAGTTATAGATAATTTATGTAATAAAGTTTTTTTAATCCAAAATAAGTAGGACTATTAGTAACAGATTCGAAGTATCAAAAATATGGATCATCTGAAATTATGAATTTTTTATTTTTTATTTACATACTTCTCTATTTATTTTTATTTTAATTTATGTGTAAAAGCCTTTAGAAAATGTATTGAAAATATATAATATATTAATACAAATATATTAATACAAGATTGTTTGTTAATATAATTATTCTCACACATTAAATTATCTTTTAGTACTAAATTTTTATTTTTGAGAATTAAATCTTCCAATACCATACTAGCCGAAATCATTTGATCATATACAAAGTTTTTTCAAAATTGCAGCTTAGTTTTTAAGAAAACTTCAATTAAAAAACGATTAATTTTTTTTACTATAAATGATTATAATAATTTTTATCGTATTTGTGAAATCTATTATAAAATATAAAGAAACAAAAAAATATAAAGAACAAAAAGCTTTTATATATATAAAAGATACTACAAATTTTTATTCAATGTTTGGAACCTGTTGTTTGAAATAGATCTATGTTCAAATAAAAATAATTAAAATTAAATAATATGAAATGCTTTAATAATATTTTTACATTAATAATTATTTAAAAAAATTTTTTAATACATATATTTTGCCAATATATCTAATTTTATTTAATGTAATCTATTACGAGTCTACTAATGTATAAACTTATATTTCTTTCATAAAATTATAATTTCTTAAATTACAAAAATTAAAGTTTTCTAGTTATGTAAAAAATAAATTAATTGACACAAACATGTAATTTATCTGAACATAAGTTTACTTCATTTAAATTCATTTATTTAAAATATCGAGTCCATTTTCTCCAAAATAATTGGTTTAGTCATACAAACGACTTTTCCAGATCATGGATATGTACAAGAATGAGGATATGGACTACGAACCGGCTAAGATGCTGGCTGAATTCTACGTGTGATGCCAGCCAAGTTTCTCCGCAAATTTTCTCCGTAGTGAGAAATACATTGCGAAGGGGAGGACTATTTTCAAACAATTTACTACTGTCGTTAATTATACTTGAAATTGGGATCAAATTTCATTAGATGTCGTTCTCGTATTTACAAATGTCGCATATTGTGAAAAAGAAAGAAAATAAGCAACCACATTAACGTTTCTAATTCATTCAGCCAAGTATTTTTTTATAAGCAGACATTTTATGTCTCCATAGTCTCCGAGTACCTAGACTAACGAGGGAGTCAATACAACTAAAGTGATCTAGTCAAGTATTAAATATATATTATACTTATAAAACGTATATCATGTCGTGGCTGATGTGAAACGGGTGATGCGATTCGTCGAAGTGAATATTTTTTGATTGTTAACGCTATTGTCGAAGTCTATCAGAATGGAAAACATGTGTGTGGGCATGTGTGAACTATTGTCTGTATTCGTGAATCGATGCCTAATATTGGGAGGAACTTTCTTTGTTACCGTGATGATTCCTAGACCATACATACCTTAAGTTGAGAGACGCTCTCACAGTCGGACCTAGCCGATAATTCTCGTGATTGCTGATAATGACTAGAGTATTATAGAGCGTTTTGAGAATCTCGAGACTGCGCAATTTACAGTCGCGGACTATAATTTACAGATCGAAGAAAGCGCCTCTTACATGGCCCTCACATGAATGGTCGCATAGGATTGTAAATAAACTTCAAACAAGAGCCTAGTATAATGATTACTACGTTGT